GTAAATTGCTTTAAAACCACTTAATATCATTTAAAAATAAAAAATTGCAAAGGTTTTTCATTGTTTTACCTTGCACCTCATAGTAGTGTAAATGAAGGAAAAAGGGAATAAGGAAAGGGGGGTAAGAAAAGGGGAGTAAGGAAAGCTTTCAAAAAATTCTAGAGGTTTCTTAGATCTGTTTGAATTTTGTAATACTAAAAATGTTGTAATATAAAAAAACAACAGGTGATTTTTAGAATTTTTTAGTTGCCTTAATCTCTGCTTTTCTAATTTTCTTAATCTGCTTCCTAATGCTTTTTTGATTTGAGTGTCTGTTATGTTTCACTACTTTTTGAATATTGGCTGGTGTATTTGCTTTTGGCAGTTTATAAGTACAATTGCTGGTATAACATAAATTTCTAAGTTCTATCCTAAATACTGCTTTATTCCTAGATATCACATGCACTGTTCACATACTTTTTATACGGTTTATATACACATATTGTGGTTCAGCAGCTGTAGTTTATGTGAGCAATAGGAAGAAAATGCCACAACTCTATTTTGCTAGCAAAGCCCAATTGTTTCAATACTGATGCGTGAATTTTGATTGTCTATCAAATGTAGCATTGGCTTCTTTAAACTTGAAAATATTTATTAAAAATTGTTTTAACTATTTTAGATATTCAGTAACTATATTCAAGATATTTAGTTACTATATTCAAGATATTTTGTAACTGCGGTAGTGGTGTAGTGGTAGAGCGCTCGCTTCATAAACGAGTGGTTCCGAGTTCGATCCCCACCACGTCCCTGGTAGTACCGCGCTCAACTCGTTTCTCCGCGCAGCGGCCTTGTTCGTCAAGGTTCGTGTTTCGGAGTTATAGAGTTGAGAGAGGGTTATAGCCACAAAATAAGTAGCCTCCTCGTCTGTAGTGGCCTTCTCGGCCTTGAGGAGGTGAAGTAAAATGAAAAAAAAAAAAAAATGAAAAAACTATATTCGAGATATTTAGTAACTATATTCAAGGTATTTATTTACTATATTTTAGATAATAATAACTTTAATATTCATTTAAGTAGTTATTAAGTGTTTAGAATACTTTAAATAATTTTTAATAAATATATATATAAACAGCTTAGTATTTGCAAAAATTTAAATAATAGTAAACACACTTATTAGATGTTTGCGTCTTGTATTCAATTACTTATTGTCTATATACAATTTAATATACTATATAGAGTTTATATAGTATATTAGATTATATAGACTATTCGAATACAAAACATAAGTGTTTAATAAGCGTATTCACTATTGTTTGATTTTTTGACATTTCCATTTAAATATTAGCTTTGACATTTCCATTTAAATATTAGTTTGACATTTCCATTTAAATATTAGCAATTTTATTCATATAACGTTTACTAAAGGTTAGTAATTTCTAAGGCTTTTTAGATAAAAGAGATAATTAGGGTAAACTTAATGATTAAAAAAGTAAACATAATTAAAAAAAAATTGCGTACATTAAATAAGTTACATTTACTACCTGTTTTTTTTTTAAACATTAAAGGCATTAAAGTTTATAAATAAAACTAAAAACTTATATTAGGTTATTGTAATCGTTATTATTAAATTTATAGAGTATTAAAGTCAAGAATATGAAGAGAAACAAAACTTTCTGGAAAAGTTTTCGTTTTGTTATTTTGTTTTCCATATGTAAAATAAAATAGCAAGCTAAACATCTAAAGTTCATTCATTCAAAAATAAGGTTCGCGTGATTACTAAATTGTTATTAAGACAATACTCTAAATATTTCAAAATCGTTTTATCTTTCAAAAAAAAGTTCTTAATACATTTCATTGTCTTAACATTAAGTTTTTTAATACATTTTAATTCATTTTTTAAAAGCTATCGTTCGGTTAGTAACCAAATGACAGTTTTAAATGAGTTACAGTACATAATTACTTTTTAATCATTTAACAACAGTTTTTTTTCCACAGAGTTTTCTTTAAAAAAACTCTATTTCGTATATTTTTATGTAGCTGTTTTATTGTTAGTTATTTATTGATATTGTTATTGTTAGTTTTGTTGTAGTTATTTTTCTTCTAGACAAATAACTGCGTTCTTGTCTAGAAAAAAAAGAGCATCATTAGAAGATCCAACCCAAACAAGACAATAGTGTTGATACAAGGATGAATAAGAGATTTGTAGAGATAGAGAATGGAATCAGAAGAGAGAAAATGGCGAGCACGATAAAGAGAAGTAACCTTAGTAGATGCTAATTTAGCAATCGATTGTATGTATGGTTTCAATGAAAGGTCAGTAATAAACGATAATCTAACAAGACGCAAAGAAGAGGACTCAGTGAAAGGGTTACCATTCATTAATATAGGAATGTCGACAGTACTGCAATAGTTGTTTGCTGTAAATAACTGAGTTTTGTTGGAGTTGAAATTTACAAGCCACTGTGAGCCCCCATCTGTTACAGAAGTGAGATCAGATTCAAGATTATCTCCCTGTTCTAAGCGATTGAAAGTAGAAGATTTTTTGTCAAAACAGGGGAATAAAGTTGAGTCATTGGCAAAAAGAATTACTTTAGACGTTAAAGTAATTCTTAAAAGTTGTCTGGAAGCTCATTAATGTAGATAAGAAACAAAACAGGACCAAGGGTAGAACCTTGAGGTACCCCAGTTACTGGAAATAAAGAAGAGTGTTAGCCTTCTAGGATGACTTTAATAATGGGGTTAGAAATAAACGATTTGATAATCTCAAAGACTTTCCCAGATACACCACAATAAATGAGCTTACGGAGAAGAACAGCATGCCTAACTTTGTCAAATGCCATAGCTATGTCAAGAGCAATAGCCCTAGCCTCTCCACCTCAATCTAATGCATGATAAAATTTTTCAGTTACAGAAGTTAGCAAGTCAGCTGTAGAGCCATAGGATTGAAAACCATGGAGTAGAATGAGGCTTGACTTGGAACCAATGAGAAAGAATAAAAGCTTCCACTCTTGCCTAAATCCAGGAGGTTACAAGAGACACATTTTTAGCTGCAAAGGAAAGGACATCAACCCAAGGATTATTGCAAAAAAAATCATGAAAAGAATTTTGTTCAGCTTTAGGATAGTAGTAAGTAGTGCGATGAATCATTTAGTCCGAAAATTAATTATGAGATAAAAGATTTAAAAAGGTCATTGCATCGTCAGAACCACATAAAGGAGAAAAAGGAGAAATTAAATACAAGATAGGATCAGAGACCAGACATAAATCAAGGAATGAAGGTAAATGATTAGGTGATGAGCATTAAAGTCACTAATAACAACAATATTGGCAGTGTGATGAGCATTAAAGTCACCAATAACAACAAAATTGGCAGGAGGGTAAAGAGAGAGGACATAGTCAATTTGATTATTAATTACACTAGTCTCACTAAGAGCAAGCAAGTCTGGTGAATTTTGCAATAGGTAAGATTCAACTGATGTAAGGTTGCTTCGCAGACCATGAGTAGTAGTAAAAGATGTTTTAAAATAGTTAGGTGTTAAGAATGGTTTTTTATATTTAATAGTTTTGGTTATTTTTGGCATGTTTTAAGGTTAAAGAGAACTTGACTTATTCATAGGTAGACCACGGACTCCAAAGCAATGAGCTATGCAAAATGCTAGAGAGACCCCATCTCTAGCCTTTATTCAACCAAGAGCGCTAAGGCAAAAGAATTTTAAGCGTTTTTTTTTCAATTTTTTTCTTTAAATAATGATTATTTTTGAAAAATTTTATATAATTACGCTTCTTTTGAGAACCAACATGATATACTTTTGAATAGCTATTTTTTGATAATCATAAGGACTCGTCTGATGTTAAAGAGTCTTGGGGGACCCCTAAAAATGTTTTTTGTTCAAAAAAAATTTAAATCCAGTGTTATTTTATCATAAAGAAAACATTAAGGGGTTGCAGCATAGGTTTTTCAAAAATATTGTTATTTGGGACACCCTTTTCGTGATTATATAAAACTTAGGCAATCCAATTCATCAGAAGATTAAATTTAAATCATAAAACATAATCCATGTCCTCCACATGGCACATAAAGGATATTTTTGGGGAATTCAAACAGATGCTACCTTAATAATTATGTGAGATTAAATACTAATAAGTTACAATATATCAGATACATTATGTCAGTTTTGTTATTTTAGTTACATTATGTCAGTCACAATATGTCAGTTACATTATGTCAGTTACATTATGTCAGTTTACTATTAGTTACATTATGTCAGTTACAATAAGTCAGTTACATTATGTCAGGTATATTATGTCAGTTACAATATGTCAGTTACATTATGTCAGTTACAATATGTCAGTTACAATATGTCAGTTACATTATGTTAGTTACATTATGCCAGTTACATTATGTCAGTTACATTATGTCAGTTACATTATGTCAGTTATATTATCTCAGTTAAAATGTCGGTTACAATATGTCAGTTACATTATGCCAGTTACAATTTTTTTTTTCAATTGCTAATAACAAAAGAACAATAAGTGTTCATTAAAAAAATTTAAATCTCAATTTTGAAAAAATTGAAACAAAAGCAAAAGATCTTAATTTGTTTATTTTGAAAATTGCTTACATTTACCTTTAAGATTTTTTGAAAGCAATATATAAGATTTACAAAGCAATGAATAAATAGGTCGTGTTGTCTAGTGAAGATTTTGTGGTTATTGACTTTAAAGTTATCAAGAGCTCTGTAAGACTTTCAAATTATTAAGAGGATTATTATTGTAAACTAAAAAAAACACTAATTATAGTTTTTTTACAATTTTAAAATATTACTTAAACAAATAGCTATATTATACTTAAAAGTTTTGCATGTCAAAAATATCAATTAGTACCTGCAAAAAGAAATTACTAGTACTGGGTACCCAGCAAAACCACCAGAATACCAGTTTCCCACGTCTTAATCTGGTATTATGCACACCTCTAATATATATTGCATTTAAAAAAGTTATGTATTATCTTTTATATGTTTTAGGTTTTTGGTCAGTTGGTGTTGCAACTACACAATGTAATTTAAGTGCAATTCCTCCTGGTAAAGATGATTATAGTTGGGTGTTATTATCTGATGGTTCACTGTGGCATTCAAATGTAGCAGTTGATAAAGTTAATCTCCCTGTTAATGAAGGTGATTATATTGTAAGTTTTACTTTGTTTAAACTTTAATTTATTCAGTAAAGTTTGCATAAGTGATTAATATTATGAGATAAAAGGATTTTAAAATAAGTCACACAGAATAAATGTTGTTTTATTATAATCATTATGGTTTGCAATTTATGTGTAGTTATTTTACTAAAAATTTGATAGAAGTTATTGATTCAAATATCAAAAGCCTGTAAATATTAATACAGTTAAATGTGACTTGAATCCTCTGGAAAAAGAAAATAACTTGTCATAACAAGTATTTGAATAAAGTTCCTGTTAAGTTAATCTTTTGAAGATGGAAAATGTTAGTTCATATTAAGGAGTCAAATTAAATGACAATTTAAAATTATTTAGAAATATTAACATTGTTCTTTCATTTAATTTATTTTTATTTTTTTGTTAGTCTTTATTACTTATTATTTTATTATATATATTTATATTGTATATAATTATGTTTACACAAATAAATTTTTTTTTTTTATTATTATTATTTTTTTAATGTTACAACATATTTTTAGGTCTTTTTTAGTCTTTGTTACTCAGTGATTTGTGACAAGAAAAAAAATCCACTTTTGCAGTTTTGAGTAGCATCGTATATTGGAAAAATGTGTCTTAAGAAGTTTTAAATATGGGGTTCAATAAAAAACTCTGCAAACAAGTTTTGAAAATATAAGAAAAAACCTTTTTTTCATGTTGCATAATTTTTTTTTATACATCTTTATTTGTTGTATGAAGATACCAATTTAACTTTAAAATAAAGTATTATATTAATATTTTATTTATTTTAAATACATTTTAAACTTCATTGTTGCATTTTAAAATACTATTTCTTGTTACAGTTTAATTGTTTAATTGTAAATGTTTAATTGAAATAAGTTTATTCAATTCCTAATTATTTTTTTTTATTCATATTGAGATAAAGCTTTTAATATTGTTGTATTGCAGGAAGAATTGTTTTAGGTTTTCAATGTATTTAAACTGTTGTATTCTGTTGTATTCTGTTGTATGCTGTTTTAGGTTTTCAATGTATGTAAACTGTTGTATTATGTTACAACAGTAAATGGATTAACTCCTCTTTAAGCAATGTTATTAACAATTGTCAGACTTTTAAAAGTAAAAACTTTTGAGGTTGTGTAACTTTGACATAGCTCATCATCTTTTGCCATAAAACTTATGGAAATTCTAAGTTGGTCAAAAATATTAGAAGATGAAATTTTTATTAAGTGAAATCTTCAATATTTTTGTCCAAAGCACTATTAATATGTTGTATATTGGTATTAATTTTTGATACAATTATTATTTTTTTATTTTTTGTTCAATTGTTTTTTTGTTTAATTTAAATTTTTTGTTCAAATGTTGTTGTTGTTTTTTTTAATCTAAAGTCTCTTCAAATCGATTTAAAATAAATTCGTCTTTGAGCAAATAGATTTTTAGACAGCATAGTGCTTTACAATCATCTTTGAGCATATTTACAATTGTTTTTGAGCAAATAGATTTTTAGACAGCATAGTGCTTTACAATCATCTTTGAGCAAATTTACAATTGTCTTTGAGCAAATAGATTTTTAGACAGCATAGTGCTTTACAATCATCTTTGAGCAAATTTACAATTGTCTTTGAGATTTTTAGCAAAGACAAAAATGAATTTTAAAGTTGAATTTGTTGTGTAAATCATTCTTTTAAACGAACAGCATTAACTAGGCAACAGCATTAACTATTTTTTATTGCAAAGCCCTTAACTCAATTTTTAAATTGAATATCTCTCATGATTTCTGATTTTATTCTTAAAAGAGATAGAGAACCAAGCCTTTCTTGACTAAAGCTCGGTGGAGACATTTTAAATGCTTCAGCCTCAAAAATAACTGTTCAGCATTGCAATGAGTATCCATTAAAAGTCAAAAAAATTTGCAATGCTGTGTTAATGTTAGGGGAAATATTTTCAACTTTATCAGTTATGATAAAATTTAATAAAAAAGTAAAGAGCAGTGGGCTCCTGTGCATCTCCATTGTATGGTTGTTTCTTCTTGGTGTGCTTTCTTTTTTTGTTTTTCTTATAGTTGACCTCAGGTAGCATATCCTTTGAAAATTTTTTAACCCTTTCAAGTTCCATTTGCATGTTGCCTATTTTGTCTGCTAGTAATATGTATAGGCCTGCATATATTTTAAGATTGACTTTTTGGCCATCTTTTTAAAGGGGGCCCAAAGAACAAAATAAGTTGCTTGCACCACTTTTGTTCTCATAAGACCATGAGAACAAAAGTGGTCTAAGCAGCAAATTAAAACAATGGAGAAAATAGTAACAAAATTCCATAGTTTTTTAATTGAATTATCTCACTTGTTTTTGAATTCATAGCAGCTCTTCCGTTTTAACCTTCTATTGAGACATTTCTTTGAGTTTTTTATAGAGTTACATTACTTGAAAAAAAACACATTTTGTAAATTTGTGGGTTACACCACTTTTGTTCTATGATGTTTTATAGAATTTAGTTATTAAACTTTCTTTATATGTGTAACTAATTTATATATATATATATATATATATATATATATATATATATATATATATATATATATATATATATATATATATATATATATATATATATATGTGTATATATAATATTATATATATATTTATATATATATATATATTTATATATATATATATATTTATATATATATATATATATATATATATATATATATATATATACACTTACTAAAGCGTGTTTTGATAAGCATTTGCTCACTTTTTCTGCTTACCTTAGGCTATACCGTTTTTCGAAAAAGAAGAAAAAACGAAGATTGATAAATAAAATGATTGCTTCCCCATCCCAAACCCTCAGTCGATGTAGCAGCACTCCACTGTGAGTCAGGCTATTTATCAGTTGATGTATGTACTGAAGCCCCCAGCAGCAGGCTATTTCACTATGACGTCAGATTGCTTACCATAGTACGCAATACTATATATATATATATATATATATATATATATATATATATATATATATATATATATATATATATATATATATATATATATATATATATATATATATATATATATATATATATATATATATAAGTGCTTTAAAATTTCAAGTACTTTAAAATGTTAGTTTAAATATAATTTTAAATTTTTTTTATTTAGAACACTGTTTTAGTAACTTTTAGTATTTTTATAAAGTTCAGTTTATTTAGGGCATCAGTTTTGACCACGTTGAGCTAAATTTTTTTCTAAATGGAAAGAATCTTCACTGTCCTTTACGTGGCATCAAAGGTGTGGTTCGACCAATTATTTGTGGTATGCTTTTATTTCATAAATTATGATTAATTAATTAAATTAAAAGTATTAATATTATGTTTATAAATAAATAATAATTTTATTACATTATATTTATTAGAAAATAATATATAATAATGTATAAGAGATTTTTTTATTCAACATTTTTTTCATACATGGTTTCAAAATCACCTTTTTTGGAAACAATTTAAACTTTCTTTTCCATTTCATTTACTTTAGATTTATATAGATTTAGAGATCTCTATTTTAAACAAGATCAAAAAATGTTTTACTTGTAAGAAAAATAAAAAAAAATAGAAATAATGAGAGCTTTTTAAATTTCATCTTCTAATTTTTTCGAAAAGTTAATTTTTTTAAATTTTTTCAAATGTAAAAGAAAATGCAGAATCTAAAATTGTAGGTTTAGATGAGCAATCCTTTTGAGGAGAGGTAACTTTTGATAACTTGGCCACAGCTCTTTGCATGTTTTGATAACTTGCTTGTTTTAAAAATTTCTTTAAAAAATTAAGTTAAACTGAATTAAATTTAAACAATCCATAAACTAAAAAAATCTTAGCAAATAATAATACCAAATAAAAGGTAACCAAGAAAAAATATAAGCATAAAAGTAATATATTTTTTCAATTTGAAAGCGTGTTAATTAATTGTTCAAAACTAATAATTTTTCACGTATTATAATGCAGCATATCACTTAAAGATATAACATTAAATATTTGTGATGCCACTGCTAGATAGGTGTTGGGTGTGGGATCAAATCCTTTTAAAGAATCATTTTTTTATGTTCTATTCACTTAATAGACATTAGAAAATAAGTAATTTAAAAGTTTGGATAAAATAACTTCAAAACTTTTATCTTTTCTCAAATCAAAGTAAAACATTCTTGAATAAAAAAAAATTGTTTTTATAGGTTTTTTTTCATCAAACTTTTTTTTTATTTTCTCATTTGTTAAGATTTATTTTCTTTTTTTAAGTTAATGATTTTTTCTTTAATTTTTCTTTAGTTTTATTTTTTTTTAGTGCATTTTGAAAATGCACAAATTAGTGAGCTGTGCCCAAGTTTAAAAATGCCTTTTTTTCAGAAGTCTTGGATAAGTTAAATAAGAACCTTACAAAATTTTGTAAGTTACTTTGCTTAAAGATATGGTCAAGTCACCATTTTTGTAAAAAAAATATAGTTGAGTCAACAGGCCTTGTTAAGAAGCGTTATGCAGCACGCATTTTACATACAACATAGCAATTTCACCTTTGCATTACCTGTTTATGATAAGCAAAAAATTTTATTTATTGGAATATTTAAATTGTATTTTATTATAATTTATGCAGCATTTATTTAAAAAATTATTAAATATTATTAAATTATTTTAAAAAAGTCATTATTAGTTATTGTAGAAAACATTTTCACAGCATTTTTGAAAAAGTTTATTCTTTCAGTTAAAGAAAAGAAAATGCTTTAAGTTAAAACTTTTTATCATATTTAATTCAAAGTATTTAATTTTAAAATTCAACAATTTTTGTTGGATTATGTATACTATAAAATGGATGAATTTTCTCCATCCTGTTATAAAAGTGCTTATGATTAACTGTTTATAAAAGCATTTCCAGATAAACCATGAGCAAGGTCTCTAGGCAATAATGTTTTAGAGAATTTAGTTATTAAACTTTTTTTAAATGTGTAACTAATTTATAAAAAAAATAAAGAAATTTTTGGTTTTAACGTTTATTCAATTTGATTGAGGTTTAAGTTTAGAGTTTAAATCAATTTAATTTAACTAATTCAATATCACAAGTTTTAGTGATATTAATTTAGTAAAATTATTTTTATGAATTATAATAAATTTATAGTTTTATAACTGTTAAGAAATTCACCCATAAATAATTTTCGTCTTACATTTAAAAAAATATTGAAAACTAAAATAATAAAACAAAAAATTATTATTTTATGTATAAAATTGTTTTAAAAAATAAATAAAAAGGTTATATAATCATTTTCAAATACCAAAGTTAGATTTTATTTCCAATTTTTGTTATATTGTTTAAATTATAAAAAAGTTATTTAACATTGTTAAAAATTTTTTTTTTATCATTTTAAAAATTAAATTTATAACAATATTTACTAAAAAATTTTAATACACTTTAAAATAATTCTTTTAACAATATAAATATGTAAGCTAAGTTGAGTTACATTTACATGTGTTAGGCTTTTTTTTGTTTTTGCCACAAAATCTCGTAACAAAGTTCAAGTCAGCAAAAAAGATATTTCTTTGAAGAATATTTCTACTACAGGGTTGCTCCTGGTTACAGCTACAATTGCAAGTATCATAAATACAAGCAAAGGAGATTTGATTTCATAAGCAACAGAGATTAAGTTTTTATTATTAAAAGAAGCTTTAAGCAGTCATAAAATGAAGATAAACGAGTAAAGGAGTTAAACAATGTAAATACTTATTAATATAAGTATCTACATTGATAATATGGGATTATGAAAAACTGGAAAATTCCAAGAAAAGTTAGCAAACACTTCAAAAAACTAGTGGTGGTAGTAAAAAAAAAAATGTATAAGAAATTAAATATTTTTTTGTTTATGTACTCATTATAAGGCACCAGAAATTAAATAAAAACCTTTGAAAATCAGATATTTTGGCAGAAATAGTGGGAACTAATGGCTACTTTTAGCTTTCCATTGCTTGATTTTTTATTTTTGGCTTAATTCAGAACAATACTTTTAAAATAATTATTTAATAAAGTTTTTAATAAATTCAATATGATAATATAGTTTAACATTTTGTAAATAAATTTATTTACAGTGGATGATGGTTGCATCATTGATGTTAGTTTTTCTCGATTTATATTTCCTCCTCCACCCGGTTTTCAGAAGTTAATGGTTGAGGTCGATCTTCTTTGACAGTATCAGCATGTTTTTTAAAATTTTTATGTTTTTGCATTTTTTTAATTGTAATTTTTTCTGCTATATGTTTTATAAGTTATTAAATTGTTCTTTCTCATTGTTTTAAAACCTATATTTTGTTTTAAAACTATCTTTTTATTTTTATTTTTGTGGTTATACTGTATTTTTTTCTTATATCGTATATATATATTTTTTATTATTATTACATATGGTGATTACTTTTTATTCTTTTTGTTTATACAAAATTTAATATTTATATTCATTTTTTATTTATAATTTTGTAATTAAGCATGTTGTGTAATAATATATAAATAATAAATAATAATACAAAATTATTTAAATTTTTAATTATTTATACAAAATAATTTAAAATCATTAAATAGTAGTATATTTCTTAAAAATTCATTTACCTGCAAAAAACTACTTACAAAAAAAAAAAAAAAAAAGGTTCTGGTTTACTAAATGAAAACTTACAAACCAGACAGGAAACATTTTTGCAACTTTAATTATTTATTTTATCTTTGGTTTAATTATTAAATTATATTTTATCAAGTTGGAAAGTTTTCAAAATGTTTTAAAATGATAAAATGTTATCTTCTAGCTTCTTACTTCTTAAATAAATAAAAAAATCTAACTGATGTTTAATTTATAATATATACATTTATCATTTATAGCACATTTTTTAATATTGCAGTAATATGATTCGTATTCCTAGTGCAGGTACGAAAAATTAATTTATACCACTTTACCTGAATGTGGATACACAGAAGGTGTCAACATAAAACAGCAAGGTAGTTTTGTATAACGTTTTTTGCTCAAAACTTACTTCTTTAAATAGTAATTTTAGTTTTCTAATTTCTTATTTTTCTTTTTAGTTTTGTATTAGCTATAACTGCTAATAATTGTTTTTTAATTCTCCATGGTGAAACTGCTATTTTATTTTTTTATTTTTATCTTTTTAACTATTGCACACAAATCCTGACAAGCAAAGTTTTTTTACATGGACATAATAGGTTTTGACTTGAATAACTTGTTTCTAAAAAATGTGTCCCACGCCTCTAATTAAGCACAGTGATTTTTCAAGTTGTTATGTGAGTTGTGTAAGTAAAGTATTTTGTATTTTCATTTTAGAAATATCTGACAGTGAATGTGTTGTTGTTGAAACATATGCATGTGGTGTTAATTATGGTGGTATAATAATACGCTGGGGTCTCTATAAATCTGCAACTGATTTTGTTGGTTGGCCCATCACACCTGGATTTGAATTTAGTGGCACAATAAAAAGTGTTGGTCAAAATGTTAAAGATTTTATTGTTGATGATAGAGTGGCAGGTCTGACCTGCTTTGGTGCTTACACAACATGTATTAAAGTTTCTGCTCATATTAGGGTTAGGACTATTGTAATTGTAATGAAAATAATAACAGTAACAATAACTATTGTTATTGTATTAACTTAATTTAGAAACAATAACAATACTTGTGATTTACAACTATTGTAATACTGTCATACAATAACAATAAATATTGTATTGCAATTCATCTTTATAAAACAATATCAATATCTGAAAAAAAAAATGTATTGTAATGACCCACTACAATAACAATAAATATTGTATTGTAATTCGTCTTTATAATACAATAACAATATATTGTTATTGTAATAAAAAAAAATTATTTTAGAGTCAAAATTTAATAAATGTTTTAACAGTCCAGTCTCTGAGAAAAGTGACCTTGAAATAGGGTATAACTAATATATAAGTATTGATTCTGTTTCTTTTTTATTTTATAAACTTTATATAGCTCTATAAAAGTGAGTTTAATCAGGCTTTTACTGCTAGGGATAGACATGATTAACTACTACCATTTCTTCCACTAAGTTATTTGCTTTTACATTAGGCACCTATCCAATTGTTTGGAAACTTACTCAACTCACACTTACTCTAATATAACTTTGTCTTTTGTTTAATATAATTTTGTCTTTGTAGGACACCCCTAAATTATCTAGTGGCCAAATAATAATAAATGCGTGAAAAAAAAGTCTAAATACTATAAAATACAATTGCTATTAGACTTTCAAATAGTAATATAATACATCAATGTACTTATTGTAATTGTTTTTTATCCCAGCAATACAATACAATAGTTATTGTAATTGTATTACATCACAGCAATACAATACAATAGTTTTAGAGCTTCAATGTGTTGTTAGAAGAAAAAAAGCAATACAATAGTTATTGTAACTGTTTTTATTCACAGCAATACAATAACCATAAATGTTTTAATTGCATCTCTGGTATTACAATACAATATTATGGTATTGTAATTGTTATTGTATTTAATTTTTACAATATCAATAACAATAGTCCTAACCCTAGCTCATATGATAAGAAAAGTGCCATCAAATGTTTCAATGTCAGCAGTCGCTGGATTTCTAACACTTGCTGCTACTGCTTACTATGCAGTTTTTGAGCTATGCTCAAAAACTGCATAGTAAGCAGTAGCAGATTTGTGTGTTACTGACTCTGTGTTAGTACATTCTGCAGCAGGAGGTGTTGGATCTATGTTGTGTCAAATCTTACAAAATTCTGGATGCAATGTTGTGGGAGTTGTTGGAGCAACACACAAGGTTGAAACAGCCAAAAATCTAGGTTTGTGTGTGTTTGTGTGTGTACACAAATATCTTTGCTTACTTTGCCTTATATGAAATGTCATTGATGCTATTATACTGAATTGTATGTATGTAAATAACTATTTTTGAATTTTTTTTCATAATTTTAGAATCTATTATGATTATTTTTTATATTTATTTAATATTTAAAGGATGCTCATCAGTTATTGATAAATCTGTTCATAATTTATGGGAAGAAGCCAAAAAAATTGCACCAAATGGTTTTGCTGCCATTTTTGACGGTAATGGACGCTATAATCATGTTAAATATGGCGGACTTCTAATATCGTATGGTAGTTTTTTTTCTTCCTGCTTTTAAATTCTAAATGATCTGCTTTAATAAATGTAGTGCATTCATTATAACTTTACTCCTAAACATTTTTTCTATGTAAATTAAAAATATATATAAATTTTTTATTTATAAAGATAACTTTGGAGTAAAAGTAAAGTGAAAGTCTCTACAATAAAATTTTTTTTTAAATGAGATTTAATTCAATTTTATTGTTTTAAGTATATAGTATCCTTAAGGATACTATGTAATTTTAGTAAGTTTAAATGTGAGCAATCTGTTTTTGGCGACTAAAAAGACACCCTTGGAATAAAACTTAATGGTTTTATCCCAAATAAGACCTAAGGTTGCTCAAGATATCTGTACTTTTAACTATTTAGAGGTACTTTTAACTATTTATCCTATTTTGTTTAGTGATTACCTGTGGTTACTAAAGTTTTATACTTTAAAGTTTGATATTATTTAGCTGTATTATCCAGAAATAAAGTGAAGTTTTTATATCTTTCAAGCTTAAGGTCTCAGCATCAAACATATTTTATTACTTTGTATTGGCTCCTAAAACTTTCAGAACAATCTCTATTGTTTATAATAAATAGGGAACAAATAGTTTGCACAGTTTTTTGAGCATTTTTTTAATCACACTTTCTTTTCATGGCTTTTCTCTGGTCTGGTACAAGGTTTGACTATTATTGCCTGAAGCAAGTTCTTATTTTTAGTTTTAATTTAACATTAGTTTTTATTTAACATTAGTTTTACAATAAAAAATAGGAAAAAATAGTTTTAATTGGTCTTTAAACAAGCTCAATTGTTGGCAATGATTGCACCAAAAATCATAATGGCTAAACATTTTTTAACACAAGGTGCAAGTTGCTTGGGATAAAAGCATAATTTTAGTGGCCAACAAACATAAATTATTGTCTGAGAACATTACATGTTGCCCTATTTTAACAGTCCAATCTCTATGTTCTTTGCATAAGTTTTAAGAAGCAATTGCAAATATTTTTTTAAGAAAGGCATGGCTTGTGCATAATTTTACAGTGTATGTATATATATATATATATATATATATTATATATATATATATATATATATACATACATACATACATACATACATACATACATACATACATACATACATACATACATACATACATACATACATACATAGATATATATATATATATATATATATATATATATATATATATATATATATATATATATATATATATATATATATATATATATATATATATATATAGTAGTGGCCATTGAATTAAGGCACCTTACGGTTTTTGGATAAATTTAGTATAACTTTGAATGTGCCTTTTAAATATGTAAAGTATTATATGTCAATGTCATTAAATTAATCAAATTAAAATTTTTTGCATATCTTTGTTTAAAAGATGTCATTAAAGCTTATTAAAGTTTTTTTTTTTAAAGTAAATAGTAAATAAATTAAATAAAATAGATATGGATAAAGAGGCAGATTTGAGTGATTTTGTTAAAGGTCAAGTCATAACTTTGCATGGTGAAGGGTACTCACAAGTTGTCATTAGTAAAAGTCTAGAAATATCAAGATGCGCTGTAAAATTGCTAATTTTATAACTTTTTATACAGTTTTTTTTTTTTTTAATATAAAATAAATATGAAGAACAAAACTGCTGAGTGGTGGACTACTGTGATGTTTACTGACGAAAGTACTTTCCAGCAGCTTGGTGGTTCAGGGTACAATTATGTTTGTTGACCGGTAGGTGAAAGACTCAACCCTAAATACACTCTGAAGACCATTAAACATCCGCCATCTGTTATGGTGTGGGAAGCTATCTCAGCTGAGGGTAGATGCAGAATCCACATTTTCGGTAAGGGTGAAAAGGTCAACGCTGCAAAGTATATACAGGTTTTAGAGTCAAAGATCAAGACACATATGAACATTTCTGAAACTACCATCTTTCAACAAGACTCAGCACCGTGTCATACTGCGAAATCAGTCAAGAAGTGGTTTCATGACATCGATGTGCAACTTTTGAAAAACTGGCCCTCAAGTTCGCCTGATTTGAACGTTATTGAAAATTGTTGGAGCTTAATAAAAGCTTAAGTGTCAGCACATCGTCCAATGTCACAAGTGACAAGCTTGTAAAAAGTATGCCTAATCATATACAGACTGTATTGAAAAATCGTGGTTACCCTACGAAATACTAAAATTTTGAAACTTTTTGTTGATGAATTTTATAAGCAATGCTGCTAGATATGTTTTAGAACATTTTATAATACTAATAGTACATATAATACGTTTTAATTAAGCAAGTCCAGTTTCTCGTTCATATGAAAGAGAAACTGTACTTGAAGTTAAAAATGCAATTCTGTTATGTGCCATAATTCAATGGCCACTAATGTATTTTCCTTTTTTTTCCTTTTCCCCATCCCTAATTTTTTTTTCCTGAAAAATAAATAAAAATTACATTTTCGATATGTTATTGCATATTATTAACTACAATAGTTTAGGTTTGTTATGATTTACAGCTCAACATTTTCATATGTTTCACACAATATACTTTGTACACTTGTTATCGTTAAAATGATATATTTGTACCAAAGCGCTTTTGCTGCGATTTTCTGTGAAAATACTCAAACAATTAGTAAAGAGGATGATCTTCTCTTCTCCCCAATACATTGTAATCTTCTAACAACACTTTTTATATTTGAAAATATTGTTATGTATAATGTAAACATTGACGAAATGTTTACTTTACACAAAAACACAAAAAATCATGAAAAATAATAATATTCGGTGTTTTTCAGTTTTTACACCTAGCACTTCTAAGGGTCTTTCAACCCTCAAATTTGGTAAAATTACTTATTTTGTCATAAATAACCAGGAAATTATCTATGCTAATTTTTTTTTTTTTGGGACACCCTAATATATATATATATATATATATATATATATATATATATATATATATATATATATATTTTTGATGAAGAAGTGCTGAAACAAGTTTATAGTGCAGTAGAGAACCCAAGGAGACCTCTGTATCTTTTAGACAGGCCCATAAAAGAGCTTCTTAAGTCACAATTACCCACAAATGGAGATATACTAAGAAAGTAATGTAATATTATATCCTTAAAGCAGCTGAGGTTAAAGTCAACTAAGTCTAATATTTGTTACATGTCAAGTTCCTGGTACAGACTGTAGGGGTACAACTAGAGAGTGTCTTGTCAAAGAAGTAGTAAATGTCTGGGGCAGATCTGGTTTTCACGATGACTTCCTGATGCGAGGACAAGGAATAGGGGACAAGATTGAAAGACTTAACAAGAAATGGAGAAAGCAGATCGACTATAAAAAGTAAGAAGTAATTCACTTATTACAAGCATCATTTAAACTATTTTAGATACATATTTTACATTTTGAGGTTTAAATATTTACCATTGGTTTTACACATTAAAACAGTTTTTAGCTTAAAGAAAGTTGGATGAAACAACCAGCAAAAAAAGAAAAAAAACACTCATTATTATTTCATTATTGATTCAGGAACTTAGGAAGGTCCACCCCATAATAGATTGGTGTTTAAATAAATATTAAAAGAAAATTACATATTACAGTTTTGAACAAATTTTTTTCCATCTCCTAATTTTTTTAATTTCAGGTTACCATTCAGTGCTAGTCAAAATCTAAATGATCTACAAAAGGTCTTTATTGACATGTCAAATGAGCTGTTTGACATAAGCTGTAAAGATTTTGTGTCAAAAATCAGAGGAGACTGGACAAGGACAGCTGAGGTAGTTCAGGAAGACATAGAATTCTATGAAGACAAGAGGTCCATAAGAAATATGGTTATTACCTCAGAGATTGACATGATCTACCAAAGGAGGGTAGATAGAAGAGAATAGCTGAACAGAAACCTTGAAAAACACACAGTTTTATTATCTTCCATTCTAAGGCATGCTGGGCATGACATGGAAGACATTGTTCTTTCAAAATCTAGAACCCATAGGAAAATATTTTGAAACAATCAAGAACAAGGGGTATGAAATTAGAGCTGGCTACAAGGATGTTTTAATTGGTAAAAAACTTGTCCTACACTTTGACAGCAAATTGTGCAAAGAAATGGATTATGAAAATAATAATAGTTTAAAAAAGGAAAGGATTGCAGTAAGTGTAACAGTTCTTGAAGATAATAATGGGAATGACATCTTGTTAGGGGTTTTTGAAGCCATTTCTTCCAAAGGAAAAGAACAGACAAAAGAAATAAAGAATGCATTGTGGAATATTTTGAAATAGAGTGAAATATTTTTGCTGTTTGTGCAGATTCAACTTATCAGCAAATATGTTGTTGGAAAGCATATTATATGGCCTTTATGTCGCAGGCACATAAATGAGAGACACATTGTCATTTGGTGCAATCATTGAATGAAAAGACTAAAGCACCAAGGAAAGACCTTTATGCAAGGTTTAAAAGAAACTGGCTAGACAATTTTAAAGTGTGCAATGAGGATATTAACTCTTTAAACAAATTTGATTGGATTATTTTTCAAGCTGGCTCATTCATGCATCAGGCTTCACAGGAGGCTAAGGAATTCTTGGGAAATGCAATCATCAAGAATACCTTTTTAAAAGACAGAACAGACTACAAAAGGTTGTGTGAGCAAGTTTCATTTTACTTAGGTAATGAAGTTCCAGACTTCTCACTGCACCAGCCCCCTGCTTGCCATGAAACTAGAATAATGGCAGATGGGATATATTTACTGATGCTTAAGCTCACCAACAAAACACTTACATTGATGACAGAGGAGGAGAGAGAAGTTAATAAAGTGGCACCTTATGTTGCTATATTTTACATTCCTTGGTTTCTCAAGACATCAATCATATCACAGGCAGTTTCTAATGATCTTAAGGCTATTAAAGTTGCTGAAAGCTTAGAAAAATACAATAAAATCTTAGGTAGAATTCTTAAGAATTATCTTCATAGACATACATGGTACTTGGCAGAAGATGTCGTTATTGATTCAAATGTAGATAATGAGGAAAAAGCATTAATGATCCAGAAACTTTTGAAAAACCCCTATCCAGAGGATATTTCTTACTTTGATATTAAGAAACAAAATATCAGAAATGACATTATCATTGACAAGAATACTCAGTTGTATGAGTTGGTTGGGAAAAACAGATGGTACCTGATTTTTATCTTGAATCTCAGTAAAGAGGATGTATTGTCTTGGGTTTCTGATAGCACATTTGTGGAGCTTCAGCCCAGTTTCAAGTTTTTCAAGGAATTTGTCTCAAATATCTAATGTATAAACAATTGCGCAGAGAGAAATATCCGTCTAGTTTAAGACTTCTTGGCAGATCGTCACATCAGAAAAGTCAGAGACATTATGCTGGTGGCTAACAGGTGAACAATGGGTGATTAACAAAGGAATGCTGAAGAAGAATTTAACAACTTGTGAGCTCTAAGAAATAAAATATATTTTTTTTGTTAATTTTTGTCAATCTTTTCCAGATTTATTGAAAATGGATTGAAAATTGGATATTATTAAAAAATAAAAATCTACACCTAGCACTTCCCGTATATTTAGAGATCTCAAATTTGGTGGTTATCTTTTACTCAAGGTATATAACCAGAATATATACCATGCTTTTTGATTGCGTAAAAAAACCTATTTTTTGGGACACCCTAATATATATATATATATATATATATATATATATATATATATATATATATATATATATATATATATATATATATATATATACACACGCACGCACGTACATATATTGGCTACATATGTATGTGTGTGTGTATATATTTTAATACAGGGCTGCTCTATATATATAACAAGTATTTAAGGCGGTCCCTAAATCATTTGTTGTCTAGGAATAGATTGTCATGAGAGAGAGGGAGTGAGAGAGATTAATATATATAGATTAATATATTTATAAATATAAATATATATATATATATATATATATATATATATATATATATATATATATATATATATATATATATATATATATATATATATATATATATATATATATATATATCCTTATATCGTAGTCGAAAGAGACTTTTAATGTAAAAAAAGTCTCTTTCAACTTCATTTTTGCTATCTTGACTATTAAGCTACATTTTATTGTCGTCGAAATGTCAAAGCAATTAAATTAATGTGGAAGTGCATTAAATTTTATTGTTTTTAAAAAAAACTTCAATAATGACTAGAAAGTTTTTTTAATTGTGTTTTTGTTGTTGTTTTATTAAAATATATTTTTAAAACATGTGCGAAACTGACAAATAGCCTGACTCACAAGGGACTGATGCTACATCGACTGAGGGTTTGGTTTGGCCAGGCAGTATCATTTAAGAAAAAAAAAATTAATTAATTTTTTAAACTTTTTTTTGGTCTGGTTTATAAATGCTCTTTTTAAAACTACAATTTATGGGAAAAACTTTCTGACTACCATGCAAGACTATATATATATATATATATATATATATATATATATATATATATATATATATATATATATATATTATATATATATATATATATATATATATATATATATATATATATATATATATATATATATATATATATATATATATATATATATATATATATATATATATATATATATATATATTTATATATTTATATATATATATATATATATATATATATATATATTATATATATATATATGTATATATATATATTTATATATATATGTATATATATATATATGTATATGTATATATATATATATATATATATATATATATATATATATATATATATATATATATATGTATATATATATATATATATATATATATATATATATGTATATATATATATATGTATATATATATATGTATATATATATATATATGTATATATATATATGTAAATATATATATATATATATATATATATATATATATATATATATATATATATATAATATATATATATATATATATATATATATATATATAAAATATATATATAGTATATATACAAAGCCAAGAGTAATAATTTCAAGGCCAAGGCCTACTCAAACATTTTCAAGACCAAATACTTAAATTTTTGCCTTATGTTAAGGTCGATTATTCACAAAAGTGTCGGTAGCAAATGCTGTGACAATAAAACCACATGTTGTAAAAATAGAACAAGGTTAAGCACAGAATTCATGAAAGTCAATAAAAAAATATACTTGTAGATATATATGAAAGCCCTAAACATAAAAATAAAGAATAAAAACTTCTAATTATTTAATTTGATGTTGTTTTTTTTTTTAAATTATCAATAACATCTCTCTCTCTCTCTCTCTATATATATATATATATATATATATATATATATATATATATATATATATATATATATATATATATATATATATATATATATATATATATATATATATATATATATATATATATATATATATATATATATATATATATATATATATATATATATATATATATATATATGTAAAAGGAAGACCTGAATATGACCAGAGTTTTTAGTCTTTGGCCTTGGCCATGATTGTTTGGTCTTCAAAAAAAACATCAAGTTAAATTATTGAAAGATTTCATTCTTTATTTTTATGTAATTATGTTTTAGGCTTTCATATATATTACAAGTATATTTTCTTATTGACTTGGTTAGTTTTGCGCTTAACTTTGGTTTATTTTTACAACATGTGGTTTTATTGTCACAGCATTTGCTACTTACAGTTTTGTTAATAATCGCCCTTAACATAAGGCAAAAAATTAACTATTTGGTCTTGAAAATGTTTGAGTAGGCCTTGGCCTTGAAACTCTTTCTCTTGGCCTTGATCTTAAAATTCTTGGTCTTGCTACTTTTGGTCTTGTTAACAACTCTGTATATGACCATAATAAAATAATGATAAGTAACTTTTTCAAACACAAAGAGATTAAAAAAATATAGATTTATTTTATGTAATTAATTATTTATATTGGTTAGAATAATCATGCCTACAGGGCAAGTTGCAACAAATTACTTTGGGTAAATTGAATCATAAAACAACTGCGTGATTGATTTTATTTATTTTTCTAGTCTATATTGATTTTTCGAACTTTTCTATTTATTTCTAAAGTAATTGACGTTTATTAACAAAAAAATTAGTTCTAGAAAACAAAAAATCTGCTAATATTTCTACATCAATAAAAAAACAAACATTTAAGAAATCTAATTTTTGAATTAAAATGTAATCAATTCTTTAGTTTCTGTAATATTTGTTTGTTTTTAAATGAAAGTTTATTGCTAATAAAGTCTTTTTGTTGATATCAAAATTTGATTTTTATTTTTTTTATGAAATTTTATTTCATTTTTGTTTTATTATTTTGCATTTTACTTTTTTGTTTTTTAAATGTTAATGAATTGTTTTTTTTTTTATTAAATTTTTATTGTGTTTTTATATTTTAAAAACTATGTGAAAATACTTTGGCATTTTTCTAAAGTTTATTGTTTATTGACTAAAAGAACACTTTTTTTTCAGAAACACTTTAACTTAAAATAATAAATTAGTTTATAAAAAAAAAAAAATTGAAATAATAAATTAGTTTATTAAAATAATAGTATTATTTTAAATAATAATCCTTTTTTAATTTTTTCAGTCTATGAATATAATTATAATTTTACTAAACAAGTCAGGTATATGTGAAGTCTCGTATAATAAAAATATTGCAACTCAATAAAAATACTTTTCTTTAATGTAATTATAAAACTTTATTATATTACTTATTGTAATTAAATAATTTTTTTGCCAAATAGAAATTAGAGATTAACTTATAATTTTTCTTTGAACCCTGCAAGTCTATACCTTCAAAATATTGCGTTGCAATTTACCTGTTCACTGTTACAACTTGCCCCGGTGCTAGGTAAGTTGCAACATCTTTTGTTGCAACTTACCCCTGTAAGGCAAGAAAATTGGAATTTTCACACCTTACGGTATTTTCCTGATTCATTTTACTTTATTTTTTTTTGTTGTTTTTTTGCCACCTTTAATCATCGTCCTCGTTTTTTTTTTTACTAACTCCGAATTAAATAGTGGCTGCCTACAGCCTTTTTCGGAGAGAATTATATTAAATGAATTAAAAATTTTTGTTTCACTTGAGCATTAATGTTTAGGTTTTGCAACGCTTTTCCCTCGCTCAACAAAAACTAGCAATGGCGAGTTGTCTACTTTTAATTGGTTGAAATTAATGTGGAGTTACAAAAATCGCACTACATTTGATCCTATGGAGGTAGTTGTCCTTTAATTCGTCTATTGTGCTTTGTTAATCGTAAAAGAAATAAATGTTTAATGTTTCCATTTTATTTAGATGATGTCATCAAACAAGGGTGTCATGGCTTTTAGCCTTAGTTTTATGTTTGGTGAAAAAGAGTTAATTAAGGAGTGCCTAGATATTTTGTTTAAATAGCGAAGGTTCGATAAAACTAGACAATATCACTGAATACTCGTTATGAGACGTGGCAAACGCCCACCGTGATCTTGAATCTGGTAACAGTGTAGGAAAAATTGTATTACTTACCAAGGATAACTGAAAACATAAAATTATATATATATATATATATATATATATATATATATATATATATATATATATATATATATATATGTATATATATATATATATATATATATATATATATATATATATATATATATATATATATATATATATATATATATATATATATATATATATATATATATATATATATATATATAAGTTAAATGTAAATATATTAATATGGTAGTATTAATGATGTTATTTTTTTTTTATTTATTTGGTCTTTAAGTGCATCACATAAAATTGTTGCTTGGTTTTTTTTTTTTTTTAAATTTTCAATTTTTTAAATACTTTTTTACTAGTAAGGATCAATTTTCAATTTAAATTTTTTTTTTTTTTTTCAGTAATATGTGATTTGTATTTCACCATAAATGTTATTATTTGAATTGTTAATGTACTTAATAAAGAATGAATGAACACTATTGTATCATGAATTTCTCAATTCTTTAATTTTCTCTTTAAGTCTAATTATTAAAAAAAGTGTGATTGAAATAGATAAAAAAGGGCATTTTATTATTAATAGGGGAAGAGGGGCATAGCCGCATATGGAGGCACAACCTTTTTTTTAACATTTCCTTTTGCAAAGTGTTATCTAATACGGCAAAAAGCATACCACGCGTTAGTAAAACAGTTTCCTTCATTTCGCTTATGTCAAAAACTGTTACGTTTCAGAGAAGATGTGCATAATAATGTTTAATAATAATAAATAATAAGAAAATCTGGCACTAGATGATTCCATAAGCAACATTAAACAAGCAAATCATTTAAAAATATTTTTAGACAAAATATATGCCATATCATCAAAATATATGCCATATCATCAGTCAAATAAAAACCAAGCCGAATTGGAAACTATTTCTAGTGATTTGAACCTAAAATAAAATAAAAATTGGTGGCATTTTTGGACCTTGTTGAGCATCCTGTAGCTTACGAGCAGCTATGGTTGTATGGAGAGCATACCCAGCATTGTATAAACATTTTTTCCAGTCCAAATCAAATTCAGGAATGGCCAAAAGATTAACTAGTACATATTTTAATGAAGATTTAGCTTTAATGATAGATATCTTTAAAGAATTTTCAATACTATCCAATGCGCTTCAATCAAGAAAAATTACCATATTTAAAGCTGTTCAATTAATTAAGCATATAATAAGAGTTATAGAACTACACAAGAATGATAAATTTGGTATCTATGAAAAAAAAGTTCAAAATTTAATTTCATCCAATGAGTTCAAATACATACCATTTGATTAGAATAATAAATTTGTGTCTCTTCTCAGAGAGCAATTATTAGATAGTGTGGCAAAGAATATGAAAGCAATACTTTTATCGGCTAGTCATATAAATATGGATGAGGATAAGAATGAGAACAATGACACTGATAACTATGATAAATTTAGTGCAACTCTTCGAGATTTTAAACCCTTGGTCATTAGATTTTAAATACCTGGTCATTAGATAAAATTATGTCACCATGGCTAGAAGGTGAAGACATGGTTAGAAAATTATTAGACATTTTAAAGTTTAAAGTAGATGTTAATGATTTTCATGACTTTGTAGATGCAAACATACAGCTAAAAAATGTTCAGTTACCTTATTCAATTTTAAAGGCTAAAAAAATAGCAAGCACAATTGCTATTAGCAGTTCAGAAGCTGAGAGAGGTTTTGGGCTTATAAATTTAATTGCATCAAAATGAAGAACCAGCCTTACTGAGGAACATATATCCAATCTAATGACAATTTTGATGCCATTCCTTTTGTTACATCTTAGATGAACCAGAATCACAGGTTAGCAACTGAAACAAGGGTCAGAAGAGGGCACAATAATGATGTTTCTGCAAATGAACAAGGGATATGGACTCTACATTAATTAATTATTTAGACATATACATAGCATAGTATGTTAAATTTGGAATTTATCGGTTTTATTGTGCAATAAATATTTTGTTTAGTTATTTTGTGCAATAAATGTTTTGTTTTGTTATGTATATTTTATACTGTACAAAAATTAATGAAGACTATGTACGTATATACTGTGGGTTTTTTTTTAAAATAATACCGAGCTGGTTGTTCAAAATTTGGTAGCCCACCTCTGATTACAAGCCTGCCCTTTAGTATTACTACTAGACAATTTCAGATAAGGATTGTTATTTTTTATTTTGGTTGTATTTTCCAATGAGCAAGAAAAAGAAAACATTATTGGTTTATGATCTGATTCTATAAAATCTGTCAGAACTGAAATATCTATTATCAGATTATCAATTGTTGGGCTGCACAGAATGTGATCCAACCAAGAGACATGATTTCCATCATCACTAACATATGTAAAAGTGTTGTTTATACTTATAATATCGGATTTAATTAGATTATTTTCTGTTCTGAGATTTGAGAACTCATCAAAAAATCTAGACCCTTCTTCACAATTGAAGTCGCTAGCAATAATAATATGAATAACATTTGCCTCAGCTATAATAGACTTTATTTTTGAGCATAAATCAATGTAATTGTGGAGACTATGCTCATTGTTATAATTTGTTGGCATGTATACATTTAGCAACAGCACAGGACCAATATTTGAGACCATTTTTATACACGAGATTCGTAAGATTTAATAGTTTAAATACTTTTAGCAAGATCTTTACGATATAATATGGCAGTACTACCATATGGTCTTTTAATCATTACATCAGATAAAATATTGACAGCAGATAAGCCAGTACCATAATAATCATTATGAACATTGATTAATAAACAAAGCTCATAGGGCAATAATCAATGCTCTTGGAGCAAGATAAAGTCATATTCATTACACATATTCTTTATAGCAAAAACACTATTTTTAAACAAGCGAAAGTTAAAGGAACAAAATGATAAGCTATTATTGTTATGTTGCCCTTTTTGGGCTTAAAATATGTTTTTACAAGTAGACCATTTGGCCAGGCTTCATTTGACATTAGACAATCTATTTTACTTTTTAACTGAGAATGGTCAACAGAAACAGATATACAATATGAAGAATATCCAGGATATTTAGACTTTAACTTCTCACATTTTACAGAGTAATCATTTTCAATTTGTAAAATATCATAGGTACAATCATTAACATCTTTCTCTGAAGTTAGAGGATCTAGTCGTGAAACAAAAATATCAACATTTCTTTTAGACAGGTTGTTCAGTGTAGGTTCAATTCGCTTATTGGAATCAGAAGAACCTAAAATAAGATTATTCATTTTAAATACCTTTTTCTTTATCGGTTGTTTTCAAATACCATTTCTAACAATATCTGAGGATAGTTGGCGTACTGATGTTTCTGCTTGTATTTGTATAGGTTGTTTTTTTGTTAGGTGAGGATAGTCAGCATTATTGAGAGTTTGACTGCTGTTAAGATTTTTATGAGCATGTTGAACTTGGTTTTCATATAATACATGTTGGTTTATTGTATTCATCATCTGTGAATTTGGTTTGGCCTGTTGACTTTGGTTTTCGTTTAAAACATGGTAATTCATTGTATTCATCATAATTTTCATTTCATTCTGAAAACTCAAAAATTGTTATATTTCTGATCGAAGATAAGTAACCTCCTGGAGTTAAGCACTTATATCAATATGTTCTATTCCAACAGGGGGCAATCTAGATAAATTCACTGCCAAAAAACTGAGCAACATTATTAGAGTCTAGAAGCACCTTTAACAAATCTTCCATGGTTTTCAGAGTCCTACCACCCACGGAGGGCTACCACCCTAAAACAGTGGATTACCTCCCTTGTATTTATATATACCTTATTAACACAAATACTTATTAACACAAATAGAACTGTTTTCATTAATATAGGAATGTCAACTGTATTGCAATAGTTGTTTGAAGTAAATAACTGAGTTTTGTTGGAGTTGAAATTTACAAGCCAATGTGAGCCCCCATCTGTTACAGAAGTAAGATCAAATTCAAGATCGGACAATTTAGCCTCAATCTGTTACATTAGTATAAAGTAGAGCAAAAAGAATTTAGTCAGGAAAATCATTAATGTAGAAACAAAGGGTAGAAGCTTGAGGTACCCCAGAAGTTACTGGAAATGAAGAAGAGTGTTGACCTTCGAGGATGACTTTATAGCAATACCCCGCCTCCATCTTATGCACGATAAAATCTTTCAGTCACAACAGCTAGCATGTCTGGGATAGAACTTTATCAAAAGCTCTAAATATATCAAGAGCAATAGCTCTAGCCTCCATCTTTTTTTTTTTTTTTTTTAAAATTCACCTCCTCAAGGCCGAAAAGGCCACTACAGAAAAGGAGGCTACTTATTTGTGGTTATAACCCTCTATCAACTCTATAACTCCAAAACACAAACCTTGATGAACAAGGCTGCTGCGCGGAGAAACGAGTTGAGCGCGGTACTACCAGGGGCGTGGTGGGGATCGAACTCGAAACCACTCGTTTATGAAGCGAGCGCTCTACCACTACACCACTATCTAATTAACAATAAAATCTTTCAGTTGCAGCAGTTAGCAAGTCAGTTGTAGAGTAAGAAGATCCAAAACTGTATTGATAGTCTGACAGTAAGTTATTTGACTCAAAATGGGATGTTAAAATTTTTTTGATCAAAAACTCAAATTTAAATTCTCTTCTCATATATATACTATTTTATTTTGTATTTTATTTGAATAAATTAAAAAAAATTTTTTTTTTTTGAAAAGATAAAATGTTTTACTTTAGCTTCTCAATTTTTAAATAAAGAAAAGAAATTAGATATTCAATTTTTAATATTGCAGTATTATGATTCGTATTCCTAGTGCAGGTGGATATGAAAAGTTGGTTTATACTACTTTACCTGAATGTGGCTATACAAAAGGTGTCAACATAGAACAGCAAGGTAGTTTTGTATAACCTTTATTTCCCACAAATTTACTTTTATTTTATTCTCTATGAATAAATGAAGTGAATTTTCAAAAGTTTGAGTAATTTGATTTTAAGAAGTTGGCAAAAAACTGGACTATTTATTATTACGACCGAGAGTCTTTCATCATATATTCAATTAGTTTTAAGAAAAATATTTTGAGCATTAATTTTTTTTTTGAATTAATTCATTAATAATTTTTTTTTTTTATTAATTATTAATTATTTTTTTTTTTAATGCATTAATTAATTTTTTTTTTTAAATTCACTTCTCATTTTGTATTTTATCCCTATAACTATAAAACACAAATCCTGACAGGCAGGTCCACTTACATGGACATCCTAGGTTTTGTTTTGGAGACCTTATTTTTTTTTAATAACTGCCCTAATTGCACACTGAATTTATGATTTTTTAATGTTGCAATGTTTGAATTACATCTGAATAGCAAATTTTTTGATATAAATGGTATAGAAAATATAACAAATGTTCAGAATGTATGTGTAAGTTTTTAAATTAATATTTTACATAACACAGGGGCAAGTAAAATATTTTTTATTATTTATTTATAGAAATATCTGACAGTGATTGTGTTGTTGTTGAAACATATGCATGTGGTGTTAATTATGCTGATATAATAATACGCTGGGGCCTCTATAAATCTGCAACTGATTTTGTTGGTTGGCCCATCACACCTGGGTTTGAATTTAGCGGCACAATAAAAAGTGTTGGTCAAAATGTTAAAGATTTTGTTGTTGGTGATAAGGTAGCAGGTCTAACCTGCTTTGGTGCTTACACAACATGTATTAAAGCCCCTTCTTATATGATAAGAAAAGTACCATTAAATATTTCAATGTCAACAGCTGCTGGATTTCTAACAGTTGCTGCTACTGCTTACTATGCAGCTTTTGAGTTATGTAAATTGCGTGTTACTGACTCTGTGTTAGTGCATTCTGCAGCAGGAGGTGTTGGATCTATGTTATGTCAAATGTTACGAAATGCTGGATGCAATGTTGTAGGAGTTGTTGGAGCAACTCACAAGGTTGAAGCAGCAAAAAATCTAGGTTTGGTTCTATATTTATATAAATGCGTGTGTGTGTTTATCTCTCTCTCTTTCTCTCTCTATCTGAAGAACCCAGAGTTTATTTGGGGATGGCGCTTTTTTTCAAGAAATGTTAGGGGGAGGGGTGTGTGTTATGTTTTTGAATTGCCCCCTCGCTCCATCCCCCTGCCCCTCCTCCTCTTATCATTTTAATCGTTTGTGTTTATCTTGTTTAGTTTTATCCTAAAATGAGGAGTTGGCATTTTTTGAATACATGATTTTTTGAATACATGATAAAGGCATTTTTTGAATACATGATTTTACCGTTGGATGATGTTACTTAAGTTACGATTAAAAAATTTTACTTTAATAATTGCTTTTGTTGCAACTACCACGTTATCATGTTGCATTAGTTTGACAAAGTCCTAACTGAAAGTTTTTATTTTAGGAGAATTTAGAAAAAATTCTTTTAACTTTTTGTTAATGTTTAATTAAAACTATTTATATTATTGTTTTTTTTATTTGTTTATATATTGACCCGGACAAAAATAGTATAAAGCTGAAATTTTGCGTAGAAAAAGTATACGGTCTCTGGATGAGCGTAAAAAAAAGCCCTGTTGATTGTGCTACTTTAACATCCCTTTTGGGGGATTTTGGGGCAAAGAATAGCTTAATTTTGACAGAAAGGAGTATGAATGAACTATGCAGGTTAAAATTTGTTTAAATAAACAATCTTACAAAGAAGATTTTTTGCATTTTTATTATGTGCTAACTGAAGTTTGTTAAAACTTCAGTTTGCACATAATAAATCATATTCATTAATGACATTTTGCTGAATCGTTTCTAATTAATTATTTATACAATCAAACATATGTTTGGTTGTTTAATTGAAAAATAAAATTGTTTTTTAATAAAAAAGGTTTGGGATAAATGAACATACCAGATAAGTTATTTTTGCACAATTTTAGTTATCTTAAAGACCAGTTGCAACAGAACATGCATAATAGTACAACAGAACTAGTCCATCATAGCTGTAGAAGAAAGTTTGTGGATTGTCTTAATGATCAATCATTATCTCTACCAAGAAAGAAACTACAATCCTCATTTGAAGAGGTATTTGATTGGAAGTCAAAATGTTTTCTTTGTACTAAAAAAGTAAACCACAAACATTCACCTATTGCTAAAGTTGAGACCATACCATTGATTAACCAAAATGAATGAACTTTCTTTAAATAGAGAGGACAATAGGGGAAATGCTGTACATTCTCGTTTGATGTCTTGTAGCGGAAGAAGCCATCTATCATATTTTGTGTGTGAACAACTTCAGGCTTGAAACTAAAAGCAATAACCAACACCGACGCCCATCAGATCTCACTATGTTTAAAAATTTTGAAAAACTCTGTCTCTGGTTGGAGGAAGGAGCTTACTGCTTTAGTTTGTATGAATGCATCATTAAAAAGATGAATTAAATGAGGGTTTTTTTTATCATGAAAGCAAGAAAAAATTCTGAAGTATAAAAGTTGCTCAATCTTGAGTAATGGATTTTAGAGAAAATCATTTAATCATGCATAGTCAGGATGTGACTGGGAAAAAAAAACAACCTAGTTTTTTAAAATTACTGCATAAATCAAATAGTATACAATCAGTATCTGAAATTATTTCAGATTACTGGGCAACCAAAAAAGAAGTTGGAGAATTTACAGTAAAGGCTTTTATTAAACTTTTCGGTGGAATTGCAGAATCTTCGTTAAGGAAAATGCAGTTGGTATTTGAATGTTTAATTTTAATTTTTTGTCATTCATTTAGATTAAGAAAATTTAGATTTAGATTGAGAAAATAACTTATTAAATTATTTCTTAGATATTTGAAATATAAACATAGTTTTTGAAGGAATTATTAAGCCAGAAAAGTTACCACCCACAGATCGTGCTACTTATTTTCATGGTCTTAGAGTTCATCTCCAAGTTATTGAATGAAAAATGTTAGATGAATCTTACAACTTGGACCCAAAAGAATGGGGAGGGAAATTAGATAATGGTTGTCTTCTTCCAATACCAACAGACAAAGATGTGGCACCACCCAATATCTTAAAAGTGATTCGCTGTAATTGCAAAACTTTGTCAAGAAATATATGCGTAACTAATATGTGTTCTTGCAGGAAAAACTGATTAAGAGAGAAATTTATTTGATGATTTGTTTTAAAAATCAAACATCGACATTTTAAAGAAATATTCATTAAAGTCTTAAAGTTATTTTAAAAGAAATTATTTCTTTTAACATTCTTTTCCTATTTAAAGTTACGCACAGACAAAAGTTATTATCTTTTGAAAACAAAAAAATATATTATTTTACACATTTTAAACATAAATAACTTAAAAAATAATTGTTTTCAAGTCATAGTTTTTATATAAATATTGATCAACATAAAATTTTTCTATCCAATGATATATAGTTTATGATATTTTGATGCTGTCAAAATTCATTCTTTTTACTATTTATTGCTAATTCTCTCCTACTGTAACTATTCGAACAAAAAACATTAGCATTTAGTAAACATATTTTTTTATTTTTTTTGTTTTAAAATTTTGATTTGAATATTAGCATATCTGCTCATTTAACTTTTACTAAAGGTTAATAATTTTTAAAGTGATTTCAAGGCACCTTTTAAATTAAAGATAATTAAAGAATTTTTTTGATTAAGAATTATTTTTTTTGATTAAAAATTACTTTTTTAATTAAAAAACATATTATATTTAAAAAGATTTATAATATTTTTTTTAATCATTAAGTATAAATAAAATAATTACATTTAATAATTAAGTTACATTTACTATGGTTTATTTTAAACTGATCTCAATAAACTTTTATTAGGTTATAATCATAAGTTGTAATCATTATTTTTATTATTTTAAAAGTCTTTTTTGTAAGTTATTGTAATTTTTATTATTTTAAAAGTCAAAAAGAAAATGGAAAAAAACTTTCTGAAAAAGTTTACATTATGTTTTTTTGTTTTCCTGACATAAAGTTAAATAGCAAGCTAAAGATCAAAATTTCATTCATTCAAAAATTAAATTGCGACAGTTATAAAATTAAATTGCGAAAAAAATTAAATTGCCATAGTTATAGTTATATAGTTATATAGAGACTGAAATTTTTTACATTTGTTAATTTATTATGAAAAGCGGTTAACTCTTAATTGCCAAAAAACATAAGTTAACTTTACTCTGAAAGAATGTTTTAAAATCATTTTATCTTTCGAAAAAGCAAATTTTTTATACATTCCATTGTAATAAAACTTTGCAACAAGTTTTTAAAATTAAGTTTTATAACGACATTCATTTTTTTTTAAACTAATGTTCATTTAGTATTTAAAGAGCAGTTACGTCACCTAATTACCTAAAAAAGCTATTTCTTTTTAATTCATTTTATTGGCCAAAAGAAAAAATAAGGTAGCCAAAATAAACTAAAAATTATTTATATAAAACTGCATTTAAAACTGAATTTTTTTTTCTATTTCTAATAAAAAAGCATAAAAAATTATTGATGTTTTGTTGTGAAAGCAAAGATTATTTTTCCAAACATCAATTATTGAAATTATATTGCTGCATATATTGTTTATTAAAAAATAATCGCTTTCAATTTAAATTGTGTTATAAAAAAAAATTCTAACTTACATTTTGTGCAAATTTATGATGCAGCCGTTTTATTAAAAATTTAATTTTGAGTAAAAAATAAGTTTATGAAGGAAAATCAATAAAACAATTGCGATAAAAATGAGCCAATTTTTTTTTTGAGAACAAATAAAATTTAAATATTGAACAATATTTTAAAATAAATTTGACAGTCATGTTAAACCCAAGCATTAAGTTTAATTTTAATAAACTTAAATATATTTTTTTAATCTAAATTGAATTATATAAATTTTTTTTATCAGAATAAAATTATATTTTTTTTAGTTTTGAATTTAATCATATTTTTATCAAAATTAAATCATATTATTATGATCTTTGCTTGAAGGCGTACATAAATCGTTCTACGCATAGTGCTTTAAAACAAGGCCTGCATATATATACAGACCTTGGCTGGAGAAAATGAGTGCGAGAGCGGACAAAAGCTCTCTTAAAACATACATGGCAAGCCATGCGAGCTGCTCCTCTAAACTGCTTTTTACAAGAGCTTTTAGTTTTTGCACAAGCTATCTGTTTTTTATAAAAAAATTGCTTATTAAATGCAAAGTTTGGATTTATATTTTTTACAAGCATATGTTTGTAACGTTAATGATACAATAATATCCACATAACAAACATCATTTATTGCACTGTGAAAAAATTCTTTAGACAAAATTTTTTTTTGCAAAAACCGTGCCTGTTTATTATCCAATGAATTAAATTTTTTGACTTTGCATTATTCATCTTAGTTACAACAATAAACTTTTGGGAGAAAAATAATACTTTTTTTTTTCTCTCAAAAGCTTAATTATTATTGGAAAAAGAGCTGTAAATTGCCCCTGTAAACCATTTTAGGGGAGTGTGGCCAAGGCATATATATATATATATATATATATATATATATATATATATATATATATATATATATATATATATATATATATATATATATATATATATATATATAAATATATATATATATATATATATATATAAATATATATATATATATATATATATATATACATATACATAGTTAGAGGTTATTTTTAGATAACTATCTTTAACATTCTGAAAAAATGCACTGCTGTATACATCATTTTCTGTTCTAAGATGTTTGTCTCTCCATAATAGAGCATTTTCAACATGCTTGCAACTTCCAGATTTATACAGATTCTGTGAACTGAAAACAATTGTGAACTATCTTTCAAAGTTTGCTCTAAGGCATCTGCCTTAGAGCAAACTTTGATTATATCTACTCCTCAAGCTATTAAAAACAGTCTTGTACAAAAATGCATGCAAATATTAGCATATTATTGTCAATATTGTGCCACACCATCAACATTTGACAGATATTTGTATAATATGATATTTAAAAAGACAAATCAAATGTCTCCTCTCAAAAATAGAAACAAACTGGTGTCTGTCATCTCTTTACCGTGCAAAGGTGGTGGAGAGAATTATCAAAGATATGATTATGAAATAGTGTGCACAATCTAATTTTAAAATATATAAAAACCTGATGGAATCTCGCAACATTTTAATGGGGTCAGTTTGTCGTTAATACCTGACTGACAAAAATTTTACCGATTTTACCAAAACATTTAAACAGTTTCACACAAAGACTTTTTCATAAGGTTTATACTTATATCAAATAATGATGCTTTTTAAAAAAGTATGAGAGCAACAAATTGATGAAGTAATTTTTTTGCTAATTTTAACTAAGCTTATATTCATCGATAAATTTTAATTCTTGTTTTACAATTTCTAAACGTTCAAAAATTATGACAATATAAAATTTGTAACCCCCTCAAATTGAGGGGGTTTTAAACTTTATTTGGTTCTAATTTATGAACCCTGGGAGATAATACTATAAAAATTAAAATTTATCGATGAATCTAAACTCAGTTAAGAATAGCAAAAATATAGTTAAGATTAGCAAAAAAATTATTTTACCAACTTGCTGCTCTCTCCTTTAGGGCAGGGCGATGAGATTTTATAGCTGTTTTTGTTCCCAGCCTCCAATCATCACAATATTTTATAAAGCATCATTATTTGACATAAGTATAAGCATATAAATGTTTGAAGTTTGTTAATGTTGGTTAGCTATCTCTAAAAAATGCTAAATCCTTCACTGTTCTGTGGTTTGATGCCTACTCTAAGCTTTTTTTTCAACATGAAGCAAGCATAAGTTAAATGCTCTTCTGCAGTGCTCTGTGATGCAACCATATAACTATATGCAACCATATGCAACCATATAACTATATTAAAACAAAAAGATTTAACTACAAAAAACCTTTAACTGCTATTTTTTTTCATTGCTTATTAAATAATGCTACACAGTTGCTTAAAATTTAGACGCTGTAGAGTATAAACATCTCAAAACAAAAATGTTTCATTCCAGGTAGATCTATCCATATATTATAGGCCTCCAGTCAAAAAATATTTTATTTGCGATGTATAGGCCTGTATTTCTAGAAGGCCATGATATATATATATATATATATATATATATATATATATATATATATATATATATATATATATATATATATATATATATAGCGATTCACAGCTCTCACAAAACAAGAATTATTTCATAAATATAAACTACTTTTTTTTCTCTATTTTTCGAAAAATTAAAATTCTTGTGCAAAAATGGAGTTAAAAAAAAAGTTAGAGTTTTAGATTGACTTTTTTTTCTTATGCGTTTTTTTTTTTAATTGCATTGTTTTTGGTAAAGCAAAATTTTAGTATTATAAATATATTAGCTATTATATTATATTATAATATTATTAAATTTGTATTATAGCTATTATACATAGCTATAATACAAAGTTATTATAGAATCAGTGAAAAAAAAAAAAATCTTTCGTTTTTGAAAACAGATATGTTGTACAAAGATATTTCTCCTAATATCCTTGGTGTGAAGTTACGTGTAATATAACTATTTCATTAATAACAATATGGTCAAGCTTGCAAAGTTGTTTATAAAAGTAAAGCATTATCATTGCATTTCAGATGATCTACTTAAATAAACCAATAATTGCATAATAAACTGCAATCCTTTTTTAAAGGCATGGTTATTGCGAAGAAAAAAAAAAATTAAAAAAGAGCGCCAATTGAAATGCAAATGCTTATAATTAGATAGGACTAACTAATTGGTTTCTTAAAAAAAAAGAAGAAGAGAAGAGCTTACTTCCAGTCTTGCACTCATTTACTTCCTCCTAATATATATATATATATATATATATATATATATATATATATATATATATATATATATATATATATATATATATATATATATATATATATATATATATATATATATATATATATATATATATATGTATGTATATAAGTATATATGTATATACTTACATATATATATACTTACATATATATACATACATATATATATATATATATATATATATATATATATATATATATATATATATATATATATATATATATATATATATATATATATATATATATATATATGTATATACTGAGCTAAGCACGCAATATATGTGTGTGTGTGTGTGTGTGTGTGTGTGTATATATTCATGTGTGTGTGTACATGTTCAATTTTTTTTTTCATAATTTGAGAATATATATTGATTGTTTCTATATTTAAAGGATGTTTATCAGTTATTGATAAATCAGTTCATAATTTATGGGAAGAAGCCAATAAAATTGCACCAAATGGTTATGCTGCTATTTTTGATGCTAATGGAGTTGAAACTCTGAAAGATAGTTATAATCATGTTAAACCTGGTGGACGGCTAATATCATATGGTAAATTTTTCTACAATTCAATATTATTTATGTAGTGCATTAACATTTTTCTATAACATTTAAAAAAATATGTAAGTTATCTGTTTGAAAATAAAACTTTTAAATAAAAAAACCTTTAAAATAACAATTTCTGTAAAGAGATTTTAGGTTGTACTTAAATTACATAGTATCTTTAAAGATTTAATTGCAGTGAATTTGAATGTGAGCAATCTGTTTTTTTGCAAATAAGTAACTTAATGACTTTATCCTAAATAAGAATTGCTCAATGGTTGCTTACATGTTTTTTAATGTGATTATCAGTAGTTGCGAAAGTTTTATACAATTGGTTATTTATTTTAAATTAGTTTATTATATAGTTTTTTAGCCTTAGTTTGATATTGTTTAGCTATGTTGTCTGATAATGGTTGAAATTTGGTGTATTTTTTTGCTGATGTGAATCCACATTTTTTACCATAAGTTAAGAAATATAAATCCTAATTTCTTTGAGCAATATTTTGACATTTATGGCCTGATTGCAAGTTTATTGTGCATAAACATATCACAGGTTTTAATTCCAATTAAACCCATTTTTCTTTAAAATTTTCTTAGTAATTTGAGAATAAAAAACCTTTTATCTTGTAGTACTGTTGGCAGTGATTACACCCCAAATCATAATATAATATGACTCATTGCCACATTTTAATAGTTCAATCTTTATGTTCTTTGCAAAATTTGAGGCAGATAACAATTTTTTTTAAAAAGGCATAGGCTTAATGCACAATGGTACTATCAAAAGTTAATCATCCTTGGCAATAGCGTCTTTGACTTGCCAAGGAACTTTCTTTGCATTAGGAGGCATTTAAGTAAGAACTTGTTAGCTTCAAATTTATTCCTGAAATTTTGTATCAAACAGAGTTAAACAGCTTATTGAGTTTTTGGTTTATTACTTTTTTTCCATCAGATTCTTATAGATCTACTTACAGAATAAGTGGAAGAACAAAGGTACCCTGAAGGTCACCTACGACCTTATATCTTACCCCAAGAATTTTTATTTTTATTATTTGTGATTGCGTCTTATCACAAAGCACTGCAGAAGAGCATTTAACTATTTTTTACGCCTCCTTCCTTAACAATTTTGCTTATTAAAGTCTATGAGCAATTACTTTAATTACTGTTCCATGGCTGTTCTTTGTTGTATGTTTTTTAAGTATATATATATATATATATATATATATATATATATATATATATATATATATATATATATATATATATATATATATATATATATATATATATATATATATATACTCTTACTGTTGCAAACAGAAAACTAGCATTGTTTTAAAAACACTTGACATCTGAATAATGCTTTTTCCATTAGCATACTACGAGCGCTAGGGTTTGATACTGTCAACATTAAGGTTTGATACTGTCAGCCTTAGGGTTTGATACTGTCAGCGTTTGGGTTTGATACTCTCAGCTCTAGGGTTCTATACTGTCAACATTAGGGTTTGATACTGTCAGCGTTAGGATTTGATAATCTCAGCTCTAGGGTTTGACACTGTCAGCGCTAGGGTTTGATACTGTCAGCACTAGGGTTTGATACTGTCAGCGTTAGGGTTTGATACTGTCAGCGCTAGGGATTGATACTGTCAGCTCTAGGGATTGATACTCTCAACTCTTTTTAAACAATGTAGCAATCTAACCCTGTTTAAAAAACACTTGACATCTAAATAATGCGTTTTCCATTAGCATACTGTGAGCGCTAGGATTTGATACTGTCAACATTAGGGTTTGATACTGTCAGCTCTAGGGTTTGATACTCTCAGCACTAGGGTTTGATACTGTCAGTGCTAGGGTTGGATACTGTCAGCCTAAGGGTTTGAATATTCAAAATTAGCAACTAAAGTCATTCACAGATGTTAACTATATCAAAAAACGTCTTTATACTTGAAATAACTGATATGTTGATAACTGTTTTATATATTGTAATGGAGTTGATAAGTTAGTTTAATTGGAAAATAGAATTAACAAGAGTCGAATATGTAAATATTTTACAAAAAAACTTTATGCCCTTTGTTTAAGAATTAGAATAATTTTTTGGCAGAGGGCATAAGGCTTTTTTTCTGGAAATTATTACAAATAAACTAAAAAGTTTATTTGTAATAATTTCCAGAAGTTAGACACTTTTTAATATCACATAAACTTTCATTTTTCTCAGAAATACAGTTATAAGAGAATATATATTAAAAGTTAAGGTTTGGTTTAAGCATTTTAGTGTTTTAATATTCAGGTTCTGCAACGCTTTTTCCTCGTTCAACAAAAACAAGCAATGGCGAATTGTCTACATATAATTGGTTGAAATTAGTGTGGAATTACAAGAATCGCACTGTATTCGATCCTATGGAGGTATTTGTCTTCTAACTCAAATATTGTTCTTTGTTATTCTTTGATGTAAGAAATAATTGTTAAATTTTTTTATTATTTAGATGACATCATCAAACAAGAGTGTCATGGCTTTTAATCTTAGTTTTATGTTCGGCGAAAAAGAATTAATTAAAGAATGCTTAGATATTTTGTTTAAATGGATAAGTGAGGGTTCAATAAAACTAGACAATATCACTGAGTACTCGTTACGAGACGTGGCAAACGCCCATCGTGATCTTGAATCCGGTAACAGTGTAGGAAAAATTGTATTACTTACCAGGGATGAAAACTATAAAAACGTAGAATAAATAAATACACACACACACACACACACACACAAACACACACACACACAAACACACACACACATATATTTATATATATATATATATATATATATATATATATATATATATATATATATATATATATATATATATATATATACATACATAATAATATACATATATATATATATATATATATATATATATATATATATATATATATATATATATATATATATATATATATACATAAAGACGGTAATATTATTAATATATTATTTATGTTTTATTAGTAGAGCTTCTAATACTTTTTTACTTGGTATCATTTTACTATTTAAGTCTCCCATCAGGTTTTGTTAATTCTTTTTTTATAACTTTTTTTGATTTAATTGATTTAAATTTTTTGATTTAAATGGGTAATGTGACTTACCAAGAACGATCAAACTTCATTTCTTCAATTGTTTATTTTTCTCTGAAAATCTTATTAAAAACAAATATTGAAATAGAAAATAATAATAGGAAAAGTGTAAAAAATAAAAAAATACATTTTTATAAACTAAGTAATATTTCTAATTTAAAATTTTTGTATTACAAATTGTTTCTTGAAGAGATATAATAAACTTTCATGATTACATAACGTGATTACATACGTAGTTTTTAAACATTTTAATGTAATTTGCAATTATTTAAATAACACATTTTAAGGCATCGAAGAATCGTGTTGAGAAGAAACATCTTGGTATTTGTCTAGTTCTCTTTTAGATGCACAGAGTGAGCCTTATGGAAAGCCTTATCAGGTAACAAATTTTATTTGGCGATAACAGGTAATAAACAACACAGAGCGCATTCTGACATTCCAACGTTTGGTATGATCCACCATGCCGTCAAATTTGTGAAATAGCACGCTTACTGGTATTTTTTCTCCTCTGTACCAATATACAACACAGCAGATAATATTTATAGGAATTCAAAAGCAGGAAATTTTTCTCAATGCTTAACATTGGCAATGATTTGACGTAAAGCATACTTTACTATTATAATTTATCTAAGAAAATTTTGTTTTGCAACTCTTTAATCTGTACAGTTAATAAGAAAGAAGAAAATCCTCCTCATACTTTCAAACGTTTTTTTTACAATATTTGCTTTTGAATTAGTTTGAAATTTACTTATATGACTGCCATTTGGCAGTTTGAGAATGTTCTAGAAAATTATGTTTCATTAAAGTTTTACATAGCTCTGATAATTTTGAAAAACTTCTAGGCAATTCAGTTGAAGAATATTCTAGAAAGCTACTGAGTATTAAGAATTTTTCTGAAAGCAAACAAGTTTTAAAATATCATGATCTCATCTCAGAAGCAAAGTTAATTTCAATTTATTTTAGGAATAAAAAATAACAAAAATACTTGATATCCAAGAGCAAAACGATCGTTACATCAAACATTGTTACATTGTTAGAATTGTTTGCTACACTAATGTTTAACTTTAACTTTTTATACATCACAAACGCTGGCTAGTATATTATGTTTGTTTATTGTAAATTTTGTTTTTGTATCATTTTTTATTTGACGGATGATTCTTTTTTGTTCCAAATTAATAAAAGAGTTCCAGAAAAGACAAATAAAAAGCGAACTAATTTTTATATTGTATTTCATTATTTACAATGTTATATCAATTCAAAATATTAATTTTGGTATGTAAAGCTATCCTCAGAAAGTGGGCCGTCTTTTGCCTTCCCGACAAGAAATTTTAATATAGGCCATATATGGCATTTGCGTGCTAACCATATGCTTACCATTCTCCTTTATGGGATGGCGTTGATGCGTGCCATATGTGGCTATAATGTTTATCCCACTAAAACCACACTAAATAAGAACAATCGCTACGCTTCATTTGTGCGTGAAAGTTTCATGTGGCCCACGTGTGGGAAGCAAATGTTAGCCATGTATTTACCACACTTCTTTATGGGATGGCGTTTATGCGGGCCATATGTGGGTTTAATGCACTAAAACCACACTAAATAAGAATGAAAGCCACACTTCATTTGTGCGCAAAGGTTCATGTGGCCCACGTGTGGGAAGCATATATTAGCCATATATATTTACCACTCCACATTATGGGATAGCGTTGGAGTGGCCCACGAGTGTCTAAATCACTTATATTGCTCAAAACCACTCTAAAAAAAACGAAAGTCGCATTATATTTTTGAAGGAATATATATATATATATATATATATATATATATATATATATATATATATATATATATATATATATATATATATATATATATATATATATATATACTAAAAATATAAAGACATCAATTAACACGAGTTCTCTCAATACTATTTTTAATTTATAATAACAAAAGTATTGAGAGAACTCGTATTAATTGATGTTTTTATATTTTTAATGTATATACTCTCATATAGTGTTCGGCACAAATTCAAATAGTTTGATCAAATATGCGTCAAATGTTTGAAATGGCCAAATTCAAATCTTCCTATTTTGAATTTAGATCAAATTCAAATCTTTCCAAGATTTGATGTATATTTGAACGTTATTTAACTTATTTCATTTATTAATTTTAGTTATCTGAATCTATAAATTTTATTCATATTACAGCATTTGTTACTATTTCTCACACATTACAGCTTCTTTTATTCTTTTTAATCCAACCAAGACTTCAAGCACTGGCAAGCTTGAATGGTATCTGCAGAGAGTAGATTTCTTTTGTCAGTAATAAGATTTTTTCTTAATGAGAAGAGCCTTTCTGATGATACAGATGTAGCAGGAATGGCCAGGTAATCTCTGGCCATTCTGGATAGGTTTGGATATTTGTCAGATCGAGATTTCCACCAAAGTAATATGTTGCTATTATTGCCGCCATCTAGCTTACTTGTATCATTACAATAGTTTTCAAACTCATTACATGGGTTTGATGAAACACGCGATTTGAACGGGGTATATTTTGAAACGTTTTGAATGCTTGTAGCAGTTGTAATATTGCTTGGGGCATAATTGATTTGATATTCACAATTGACTGTGTCCATAATCTTTGTATACGACTCGCTGTTTGCGCCCTTATCATTTTTGTAATATTCAATACCAAATCTTGGGTCCAGGACAGTGCAGATAGTAAAGCAGTCACTAGTCAAATTATAATATCTTGAAATTTTTGCGAACGCTGCAACTGTAGAGCGGTGTAGATTATCTTCAGGGTTGGTTTTTGTGGTCATCCATTCAGTAATGTGATCCAAAAGAATATTGAAGAGAGGAACCACCAAAGACAATGTGGAATATGAATCACCACTAATGAGCTGGGTAAATTCCTGGAATGGTTCAAGATACAAAACAATTGTTTCAAACCTGTTCCAAACATCTGGTGAAATTGATAGACAACAGTCTGGATTGCTTGCAGTTGAGTCAAAATCGCAAAAATACGCAATGAAACCAACTTTTAATTTCATTGCTCGTTTAAGCATATCAGCTGTTGAGTTCCATCTTGTAGGGACATCAAGTATTGGTTTTAAGGTGCAATTTGATTGCTGGAAACCTTTGAACCTAGAATATGATTGAGGACTGGATCGGATTTTTTTAATTCCTGTTCTAAGTTTTACAAAATCATCTTTCAAAACATCCAAACCTGCTTGCGCGCCCAAATTCAGCACATGAGCAAAACACCGGATATGCTCAAAGGTGGTTTTAATTTCGTACTTGGAATTTAAAAAATCCATAAATGAATTATTATTGGAAGCATTATCTAAGGTAATGCCCATTCCTTTGCTTGTAAGACCGAATTCAATCAAAACTGACAAGAATGCATTAGATAAATTTGAACCTGAATGGGAATCAGGCAAGGATTTGAAATCAAGAGTTTTGGCATGTAGGATTTGAAATCAAGAGTTTTGGCAAGTAGTCTTTGTCAATGTAATGAGCCGTTATGCCCATAAAAGCAATGTTGTTGGGTGATGTCCAACAGTCAGTGGTGAATGAAACCTTTGAGTCAAGATTCAAAAAAAGGGTCTTTAGCAATTGTTTTTTGGTGTTGTAAGTGTCCATTATCTGGCGTTTTAATTGGCGCGCACTCATGATTGACAAATTTGGTTTCAGTAGAGTGAGTAGTTTACGAAAGTGGCTGGACTCTACCTCATTAAATGATTGATCATTCTTGACAATCCAGCTAACTAAGTATTCATTGAATAGATCTGGAGAATAAACGATTGGTGTCATTATCATGTCATCTAAACGTGGTTGCTTTGGTTCTCTGTCCCCAAGTAATTTGCTTTTGTGTTGAGAATTTAAATGGTTCATTAGATTTGTTGTCCCACCTTTATTGTAAGCATACTTGTTCTTGTGCTTTGGACAATGCTGGCATATGGCCTTGGTTTTGTCATGCTCATCAACTGTGAAATGATCCCATACAATTGATTGTGAACGTTTGGTGGTTTTTGTAACAGAAGAAGATTCGGGTTCTGGATTATCCGACATAATTAGGAATGTATATTTGATTTCTTTCAAAACAATAGTTTGGTTAGGGGTACTAATTAATCATTCAATCAATCAATCAATATATATTTCTGAAATAGATACATTTCAAGGTTGTTTACAAATAGTAAATATACTAATATTAAGTAAACACCTAATGAAAATGATTAAAATAATAATGGTTTAAATAATAAAAATAATATTAATAATAATGATAACAATAATAATAATTATATATAAGTCACTTGTCTTTATAAATACAATAGCTACATAAACAAAGTTAGACAGTTACAAACAGTTACAACTGATAAAACGTAAAAGTAAACAATGACATATAGCAACTATTATAATGAAAAACAAGGAAAAATAATTAATGAAAATAAGAATAACAAATATTAAAATAGAAATAATCATAATATAGTTAAAAAAAAAAAAAAAAAAAAACAGATCAAATTTACAAAAACAGCTACAGTAACAGCAAACAATACAAACACAATAGCAACAACAACACAAGTTTTCACAAACATACTACAAACAAAACGGCAAACTTAAACCGACAAAAAAAAGATTAACAAATAAATAAATTAGGAAATCTACCTGAAACCTGGA